TGATGAATACCAACTTGAAATCAATAAATCCCTACAAATCCCCAAAATTAAATTTTATAGAACTGTAAGTCTTTAAAAGTTATTTTGTTACACTGATGTAAATTGACTCTTCGTATGCACCGGAAGGCAGTGGAACATGGAGGAGTGTCCAAACTTTGGGGGCAACCATTCCCAACTCCCGCTTCTCATGAGGAAAACAGCATCAGCGTGGCACTGGTAATCATCTAAGGTAGACACCTCACCTCTGTCATATCCCTGTCTAGTCAGCAGTATGACTGTTGCCTGAGAAACCGCATCAGAGCGTAGCAAATAACAGTATGATGGTAACTTCTTTTTGTCTAACTAATATTCAACAGACCTTTCTAGTATGATAGGACCTCGAGGGAACAAGAGCCCAACCAGCATAGCTTGTTGGGTCATTGTGATATACAAGCTCGACCACCACGTCAAGACAGCCGCTATTAGTCGGAAGTGCATAAGATGAGAGAGGCGTGGTTGTAGCAACTATAGGGGAATCAGTTTTACTAAAATTGTGTACAAGACCTTTGGGTCCATAGTTATTTAGCGCCTAGTTGGAGCTCGAGAACAAACTCAAGAAAACTAGTCAGGTTTCAGGGGCATTGATAAGATTTTCAACCTCTGACAGGTAATGAATCATAGGCATACATACGGACGGCAGACATTTGCCAGATTTCCTGACCTGAAGACTGCCTTCGACTCAGTCAATTGTCAGGTGTTTTGGCGATTTCTCCAACCATACAGTTCTGTCTCCTTTTATATAAGTCTTTTTCATCCACATGTTCTTCGTATGAATACCAAATTGTAATTGATAAATCCCTAAAAAACCCCAAAATTGAATTCTATAGAACTGTAAGTCCTTCAAAGTTATTTTTTTACACTGACGTAAGTTGACTCTTCATAAATAAAACTTGTAAAAAAGAGGAAAGAAGAAAAATTTACCGATTTATTCATCACAACATACTAATCATACATAACTTTAGAAATGAATCGTTCAATCATATTACACATAAAGGAAATTGATCGAAGGGAATTTTGCCAGAATAGATTATATTGTCTACTAATTTAGAAACTGATGAAGTAAGTCATATAAATTGTTTACCTTATTGTTATAACTAACTTAATTATGGTTAGCAGGAGGAATACAACATTTGCGCTTCATCCCACTCGGAACTCATCAACTGGATATACATTTATGCCTCATTTATTGTAAGAAAGAGATTTGACTAAGATACATATGTGTTAGAAGATAAGTTTTAATTAAGGGAGTAAATTTCTATCATTTTGTTCATATATAATGTAGATTGCAATAGAAATTGATTATACTAGAGTTTAATAGATAAGTGGTAAAATGTTTCAGTAAGTATTCAGCCTTATGATCAGCTGTTTCTTGGAATTTGAAAGGAATTCATGCCTTATCTGAGAATTAGTAAATCTAATAAACGTCATCCATTCTACACTTCTTACACTGAATGCCTAGTACATTTACTATGATGGATGACTGTAACTCTGTATAGTGCTAAATAATTCAAGTTCCTTATCCACTATAGATCAACTTGAAGGGTTTCTAACTATTCAGTTTGTTTAGTAGCAGTATATTTCACTACTTCATGACACTTTTGTGTCAGGGATCAAAAGCCTTATGTCCTTGGCTATGGAGTGGTCTCCAACGGAAACCTTATTGACTGCCATTACAGTTGGACAGTTATAAAACTACTCAACTATGAGAAATAATTAACATGGATGGATAATTTTTAAATCATTTACAAACTGATCATTCTACTTTAAGTGATATACCAGTCGATGCCAATCAGCTAACCAGATTCAGGTCATCTGACCTGATTCGGCTGCATTAGCTAAATTTGTCCGTGTATATTGGTAGTGAGCTTGGCCCCAAAAGGGTGAAACGGTCCTCCACTGTGCAGATCTCTCTTATCAGATTGGTCAAATCAACCACCTTGAGTGGTTTCCAACTATTCAATCTGTTCAGTAGTAGCATACTTTGTTATCTACCTCAGTTGAGGTCCAACTGATTCAATGAAACAAACCAAAATAACACTATAAGAAAAATACAATAATCTGTAAATGTTTAGTGTTTCTGACAACAGAATTTGGTTACGGAGTTAAAATCTAACTCTGTCTGCCAATCTTTGAATTACCTTTTGCCTACTGCTTTAATGCATAACTGAATCCAATCATAATTTGATCCGGCACACACACACACACACAGTGGTACTCATATCGCAAAGCTTGTCAGATGAATGTAAAGTTAAATCGGCCATCTGAAGGAAGAACAAGTATTTCTGCGAAGAATCTCTTTTAGGTGATTTCATTTTCAAAGCTGCACAATCGCAAATTTATACATTTCTTCTAGTCTAAGGACTTGATATTAATGATGAGCAGTGGCTAGGATGCCCATTTCGTCCTATTTGAGACTCACTGGTCAGCTGGATGTACCTGTTGCCTCCCAGTGAGTCATGTTGTTCCCACCGATCCAAGCAACGACGGTATCATATAAAAACAATTATCCTAAGGACATGATAGTTAAAAACGGTTTGTCAAGCATAGCAACAGTGTCAATAAATGAGTTATCAATAAAATTAAAAATAAAAAATAAAAAAACAAAACGCTGATGAGTAGTGAATATTAATCAAAATGAGTTTGAACAAGAAGCTTAAAAACTGAATTGTGCTCAAGCAGAACATACCAACAAAAATGAGCAGTAAATTTCTAAGGAAGAGAAGTGTCGAAACAGAAGGATGAAAAGGAAAAAAGGAGGAGGGGGAGTAGAGGAGACTGAAAACTAAGAGCACAAAAGGAGAGGGGTTGAACAATCATTTTTTGTGTACATAGTTCAGGCTTCTTCATTTGGATGGCAAGAGCTTCGGTGATGTAGAGAATACGAAGACATATAGCCTTTTGGAAGTTTCTTTTGACTTTATAAATGACGTTAAACGAGGTGGTTTATGAGATAGGGTGATTTGTGTTCACGATGTGTTCAATTATAGCTCTCCATATTGCTCCATTGAAAATGAAATCGCTAAAAAGAGGCTCTTCACCGAAATATACTTGCTCTTGATGGGAACGATATCACTCACTGGGAAGCAGGTATATCCAGCTAACAAATCCCTAATGGGACGAAATGCGCATCCTGGATTGCACTGCTAGCTACTGCCCATCATTACTATACATAGTTAAAAAACAGACAATAACAAGGCATCCGCACAGGAGCCCATATGCCAACAAAGACTGATCACTTCGGTCCAATCAGCGACGGTATAATACAAGCAATAACAGTACAACTATACCCGTCCCACAAGAAGTTACTATCGTGGCTCGGTGGTGTAGTGGATTACGCTCTTGAGTTTGAAGCGATCGCTCGCGAGTCCAAATCCGGGTGGGAACAACATCCCTCCCTGGGAAGCAGGTACATCCAGCTGACTAGTGGGTCCCAAATAGGACGAAATGCGCATCGTTGATCCCACTGCTAGGCACGATCCATCATTAATATGCTTGTTCTTCCTTCAAATCATTATGGGTATAGTTTACACATTGGAATCTGTCATCATCTTATTCGCTACTTGTTCTAATGAATGAGTATATATATATATATATATATGATGAAATGCTTTCTTATACTCCTTATATGGTTTAGTAGTAGTATAGTTTTTGGTCGGAAAATTAGTTCTAATTCCGAACTCAAGATAGAAATGAATTCGAAGCCTACTATTCAGCAATCTTAAACAGGTTAAGTACTCATAGATTTATATCGATAAATCTATGGTTGATCAGATAAGTCTTTCGAAAAGTAAACGAATGATATTGGAAGTAGACAATAAGCAATAAAAATCGAAATGAAATTACCAGTTATATTAAGGATTCCAAATGCCAATAGACGCCAACCAATTCAGTTTAAGTTAATTAATAACGAGAAGTACTAAGTAATGATAATATAAAACCATACTCATTACATATGAACTAGTTGTAGTAACTCAGTTACCTAGTAGATATCACTCTGGCATTTGAAGTGGTAGGTGCTGGGAATAAAATCACTCATTCAAAGGCAGTTACACCCAGCTATTGTATCTTCAATAAGAAGAAACACATGTCCTAGATTTTATTGCTGGTCACTAATAATCCTTACAAGAGAAATAAAATCACCAGCTACATCGAGGTGTTCACCAAGGAGTCCATATGATATCACAGGTCAGCTAAATCAAGTCTTCATATTGAGAAACTATGTTGATTGTCCATAGAAATGGCCTGCATAGAGTAGTACTCCTATCATCACCTTGATGTGGAATGGTAGGGGAAGTTGGATTAAGTTGGAAGAAGGTTCAAGGTAACCAGACCAACACATGGCAACCAGTCAATCACGTATTTGATTTTGTATCTAAGCAGTGTAGAGAGATGTAAACTACCTGGCTGGGGGCCTCAAGATAATAGGGATCAGTGGTTGAAGACTATTTCTTAGTGACATCGCTGAAAATCGGTCACGATCGTGCAGATATATTCACTTCCTGACGTCTTCTGCAGCTTGAATATCTGTACTAACTTACATCATCCAAATTGTTTCTACTCTCATACACTTTTGTCTACTTTGATACGAGCCTTTTTCGATCCACTTACTCTTTAAGTGGTACCGTGATGTATGGCAATTTGAACAGATTCACCTGTGTGCAAGGTTACACGTTAATTTTGTCTCTCTCTGTGTCTATCTGTCTTTCCGCCTGTCTGTCCGTGTGTCTGCCTGTCTAAACCCAATAGTTAGCTGTCAATATTTCATCACAATATTCTGAACATAAATTCAACTGCAGCTGGTAACTGATGGGTTGTTAAGATGTTAACAGCCATTAATTGCATCTCAACAAAGAGACTTCAAAGTCAAACAGTTGAAATATTATGTAACAATAATGACAGTAATAATAATAACGCTAATAATGAATAATTTAACAAGGCGAAAATATGCATGATACACTCACCTGGACATAAGACATAAATACAAGCAGCTGCTTGTAGATAACCATTACCATCTTCAACAAAGCAAACTGTTTGACTAGTAGTAACATCAGGCCAATTATTTTTACCATGTCCATACTCATAAGCAGTTATCTCTTTCATCAACCGATCATTCATTTGATTCATCTTGGCAAGTTTCATTTCCACAGCTTTATTATAGTATGGGAAACAAGTGATTTTATTCAAACCAACAAGTGTGTGCGATAGATAATTACTACTTGACAATCGGTTTGCATTTGAATCACATTTCACTTGTATACGACTTTTAACAAATTGTAAACCAGTTTCACAATCATTATTTTGATGAGGATGCTCAAGTCTGTGTGATATTCTATGAATTTCATGATATACAACATCATTGTCATTATTATTATTATTATTATTATTATTATTATTATTATTATTATTATTATTATTGATATCTGATTGTACGCGTAAACTGTGAGTCCATGTCTATGATAGAAGAAGGGAGACAATGTAACAACACAAAAATGGTCAGTCTATAGAAAACAACAAAATATTAAATACTGTATGTTGATTGAAAATGAAATGAAAACTTGAACCACGGCCGGTTTCGGACCAGCAACCACCAGGTTTCCAGACAGATGCTCTATCAACTATGCTACGATGTAGAGCTCAGTTGGTTGCTGGTTCAAATCCGGTTGTGGTCAAAATTTTCATTTTACCTTCAATCATCATACAGTATAAATACTAGTCTGCCAAGTCACGGCTATCTCAGATAGTCAAAATGATAAGATAAAAACGAACTAATCCATTGAATCCAGTAATTTCTAAAATATTACTACTTCCAATAGGTGAATACTGTGGTTAGTAGTGAAATTTCACGAGGCGTATTCCGTCCTATTGGGACTCGTCTTATGACGTTTTTGCAGGATTTTATAGTTCTATAGTTCTCTCGATTGAATGGAATCTGAAATTGACCAGTGGCGTTTCTCAAATGGTCTCAAGCTAAACTCTTATAAGGGTTAGATTGTTAACTTTAGCCTCAGGCATGAAGAACACTTTCGTTAGCTGCTTCGCTTTCATGACTCCTGTAGTATTGATGGTATTGTTTTAGAAAGCAAATCAAATGTTACCTATCCTAAATTGGGTTTTTCTTCCATGATTTTTTGTCTTGTTGACTTCCAAGAGAATCTCTCGTTTAAAGTAATACGTAAAAAAAGTGAAACTCCTGTATTTTACCGATTCTTCTTTGTTGTTCCTCGTTAGTTTTTCCTGGTCTACTAAATAAAAGGACAAAGTTATAATGCGTAGGGCTTTGAAAGGGATCAGTAGGGTGTGCTGTCCCTGCGACCCAACTGACTAACATTATAGTTGATAGACACTTAAATTCAAGCAGCCACTCAGAACATACATTATTTACAAGTCTCTCCTTGCATCTCCTCAGGAAGAACAGTAAGAAACTATATAAGACTGTAAGGTTAAAAATAAGAACTCGACTGTGCCTTACCTAACACGCCAGGTGACTCAGTATCGTGATGCACTCTGATAGATGTTAGTTGGATGGAGGAAATCAGCAGGACACCCTAATCGACCTAGGTCTTGGGCTTTTTGGTGTCATCTAATGCTTCAGTTAGAGATGAGGGTTCGAATCTCAGGTGGGACATCAGTTCGATAGGGGTTGACAGATATGCCTTGCTGACGGGTAACAAAAAGCACGAAACATTAGTCGAACAAGGCTTCCTGTCAACTGCCTCCATCCATGAATATTCCAAGCTGTATCAAGACTGTTTGGAATAAAGTGATTATTATTATTATTATTATTATTATTATTATTATTACCACTACTTATAGTTAGTGAGAACGTATGTTCGAAATCTGGAGTTTATAGGGCCAATTTGACCATTTGAACATATTTTAATGAAGGAGATATTCTTAAATGCGTAGAATTTAAATAGCACTCACTGTTGACGTAAGATAGACAAGTCATTCAAAATGGAGTTTAGGTGGCCCCTAAGAGAATACGCTGAACAGATTTGGTCTATTTCATATATAATAGGAACTCAGTTAGTGTCAATATTAGCCACCTTTTTGTTTTATCAATCCTTTTTAGTTATCCTAAATGCATAGAAATATTTCATTTCCGTAAGGTAGTGTCAACAGTTCTCCAGTATTCACTGCGTCACATAACTCACATCTGAAGAAGATAACTATAACAGTATGAAGTATACTGCTAGCTGATATGGGTAGCCTAAAGAGCATTCAAGCCGATCGGCAGTACTTACTAGATGATCTAACAATCGGACGGCCATTCCGCTCATCTCCCTTCCAGCTTATCAAACAGCACTGTCCACCAGATCATATTGTATGACCTAAATATTTTGGCTTTCACAGTTACATTTCTCATCTTGAACTGTGTGCTTTGTAAACATTCGATTTTTTCAGTGAATTTTCAATACTTTAATTGAATATGATCGTTTTTCAGGGGTAAGTCATATGAATTTTTCAGGCAGTGAACTTGTAGACTGATTGTAGCAAGTAATATGTCACTGAGGTTATGTTGATGTCGGCTTGGTGGTTAGCAGTTGGAATTCAGAGTGTATGTTCTGGCCTATTTAGGACATATCAGCTAGATATCACTGCACTTTAGTGAGTAGTGTTGTTCCCTGTTGATATGCAAACCTAGTGCCCATTACTTCAAACATGAAAGTGTTATCCACCAGGTAATTCGAGCACATTTTATTAAGGTTTATTGGTAACGGTAATTAAGTTAGAAGAGAATTTTTGTTTTACTATTCAACATATTCACATCCATCTTCTTGTATCCAAGGCAGAAAATCTGAAAAATTAATTGGTTTTGCGTAGTGATTGGAAGGGAAATGAAGATCTGGGTGGCGGGAGGATTTCAGTCAGTTGCCCCTTACTTACCGACCAGATCCTAATTTCACTGCAATTATCAGGAGTCACGCCAAAATCCCATGTGAATTCGTGATGCATCACTGTTTGTTCGTTATATTCACAATGGCTGCCCAATGAGGACTTCTCATCTCAATCAAAGTCAAGGTAAATTAGAGACGAAGAGTATCATTAAAACTCTTCATTTGACTATCTGAAATAGCCATAGTTTGGCAGACCTGTAGTACAGATATACTGAGTGATGATTGGTGTTAAGCTTAGACCCATTATGAATCGCACCTTTTTCATTCCAGTTACAGCTCTGACCCATACTGCTTGACTGTGTTAGGGGGTTCTTACACTCCTGCCTTAGCATTAGTATTTATATATGAATATACTTTATTTCGTATTTATGGTAGCCTTGAAAATAATCTCCCCAATGGTCTATTCTTTCGTTGCAGCTTTTATTCCTAACTGGATCCATTTTCAAACATAAATCATATGAAGCGTCGTTGACTTTTTTCAACTTGAGTTTTTAGTACCTTTAGATATGTACGTCTCCGGATATGAGAGCATTTACCAACTTGGTTCAGAAAGGTTGAAGTGTAAAATTTAGTCCTGGTGCACCTAGCAGACACAGGGCATCACATAGATGTTAATAAAGCTGTCAATATCATTCAACATATTCTAAAAATGATACCACGTGTAGCTTGCCAACGCCTGTTGAATATACCAGAGGCTGTTGCAATGACATCTGAACTCTGTATTTAGAAAGAACATATCTGAGCGATACTTTTCCATTGGCCTTCAGTAAACTAAAGGCCATTCCTGCCGTCTTATTCGTTATCTTTTTGTTCACTATCATCATTAACATCTGTACATGTATCACTCCAATATTGGCAAATTTCAAAAAGGTAAAGTGAATTTCTGTACAATCATTAAATCTCACTCCATTTTGAAACTGTAACTGCCCATAACATGGCTTGTTTTAACGCTGTACAAATGGATTTTATAATTGTAGAATCTGAAGAGAATTCCTTGGAAAGAATATTCTTCGTTTAGTTTGTTACTTTTCATCAATCATTATTCAATTTAAATACTTTCATAATGATGTATATATCCAAACTATAAACTGAAAATATGTGTACCTGGTTCAAAACCTTGAAAGAAAAAATATATACTGATCACATGGTTACAAGTGTTTTCATGAATGAGTCTAATTAAAACGAAATATTTCAGTCCTTCTGTTTGTGCTTAATAAAAGTTAGAATTTGTTAATTTCTTTGTTACGTCATTGGTGAAAAGGATAGTATATACGAAGAAGAGTAACGGAACAGTATACATTATTTTTTTGCTGCTAGTATTTTCCCACCGTCAGTTAGTATTAGTGGGAAGATCATCGCTCACTAGGCAGGTATATCCAGCTGATGAGTTCGTCCCAAATAGGATAAGACGTGCATCCTAGATTCCAGCGCCAATCATTGCCCATCATTACTATGAAACTGAAAGTACAGGCAGTATCAAGGCATCGATGCAAAGGCTCGGATGCCAATAGAGACCGATTAGTTAGGTCCAATTAACGACAAGATAGTTACACTCATCCCACAAGGAGGGGTCATTGTGACTCGATGACCTAGTAGATAACAATCTGACATTTGAAACGATCGGTTATGGGTTTGAGTTCTTATGGAAGCAACATCACTCACTGAGAGACGGGTGCCTCCATCTGACAAACTGGTCCTAAACAAGAATTCCACTAGTAACCACTATCCATCATTACATGCATACTTAATTGTCTAAGTATTCAAATTTTACAATGTATGGCTAAAGTTGGTTAGAGAGAACTTGAAAAGAAGAGAAATGTTAATTGTGAGAGATGGTGACAGGGTTCTTAAATGATGTCACTGATTCAAACTCTATCACACATGAGGTTTCTTTCCAATGTAAGTCATCTTTTTCTTTACACGAATGCAAGTATGTCAAACCAAGCTTATTTCAAACAGTCAGTCAACAATGTATATCAATCAATGAGAGTAGTTTCATCTTCTTCAATATATTTATATCAACTCTCTTTCTTCTTGAATTTTAAAGGAGAAAAGTTTAGTACGAATTTATATTGGTACAATACTAAGGTAATTGAAACTTCTAAGTTATCTTATATGCTTTGAAGCATTGGAAAACTGAATAGTCATTCGTTTTTTAAAAAGGGATATAGTTTACTTAGACTATGTAATATACACTTCATTCAAACAAAGGTTCATTTGTTAGATGTGTTACAGACTACTGAGTGGTAATTGAAGATAAAATGAAAATCTGAGTAGTGGTAGGATTCAAACCAACAACTTATGGGTATCCAGTCAGGTCATCCATCAGTTGAATTACGATACCCGGTTTCAGATCAGATCTCGATTCCACTTCAATCACCTCCCACCTTTGTAATTCAGGTCGATTTGGATTAGGATGAGAATTCCTGACTGGGCACCCAGTGTGAATGCGATGAACAGATAGCAACATGTCACTAATTAATTCACATGGCAGTTGGACGAAGCCGGTGGTAATCGAAGTGAAACAAAAAGTTGGTTGGCATCTCGGTGTTG